GACAAAGGACCTGGTGATTTGACTCCCAGGACACTGGGTTGTCTGCTTGTGTCTCGGGTGGAACAGGCCCAGCAAGAGTCTTTAGGGCCAGAACTCAAAGATTTATTGAGGTGAGTGTTCCATTTTAGTCATGGCAAGGCTATACCTTTTATGGGGCTAAATTTAAGGTATAAAGTAATCATTTTGTTGTTTAGGGTCTAGGAGTTGCAGAGGAAACTGATTTCTTTTATATACTTTAAATGAAGTTATTTACAAGCAATAAAGATCTAACACTACAAATGGTAAAGTCTTTCCCCTTGGCAAGCCCTTCAAACAGCAAACTCAACAGTAGCAGCTAATGCATCTTTCAAAAGGCATTCTTGCAATCAATTAACTTACTATGCTTGACTATTCAGCCTGTTAATCCAAATTTAAGCATTACCCCAAAGCTGCTTTACCATTGTGAAGTTCACTAAAATGCTCCATTGAAACAATTCACTCAGGGGTAAAACACAAAGTGGCAAGCTGGGGACACAGTGGCTCTTTAAGAGGGATTTTAAAGTTTATGTCCCTGCCTTCTCCCCAGCAGCTGTATTCTCCCCAGTGGCCAGAGTTTCCTTCTGCTTCAACAAAAACAAATCTATATTCTCTTCCAGTTCTGTGTGTCTAAGATTTTCCCATACTCCAGACTCTGATATACATGATCTAGCCTATTTTTAGTCTAAAGACATCTTAGGGATGACACCAGAATTCCAAGTGAGGTTCAAATTTGCAGTAACACCAGTGGCCCAAGTATGCAACTTGAGGCTGCCAAAAGTGGCTCTTTAAAATGTCTTAGAGCTGTTGAGTAACACTCCTTATTTTACAAATAAGTCAACTGAGACACAGAGAAATTTAGTCTCTTCTCAGTTTGTGAGGTATCTTTCAAGATACAGTTCAGCCATCCACTCAGAAGCCATCCCTGACCACTCTCCACTGTCATCAACACCAAATATTTACTGAGTGTCTGTTATATGCCAGTCCTTGTTCTAGGCACTTGGGATTCACCAGTCCACAAGGGAGACAAAAATCCCTGCCCTGGAGCAGCTTACATTCTAGCACAGGAAACAGACAATAAACAGTTGAGTATGATAAATGTTGAAGGCAGCAAGTTCTGGAGGAGAACGGAACAGGGTCATGGGGATCAGGAGTGCCTGAGTGGGAGATGGTTGAGCCTGTGATTTTTAAATAGTTGAGTAGGTGACAGTTGGCACAAACTTAAAGGAGTTGAGGAAGTTACCCACTCAAGGATCTGGGGAACAGTATGCCACGTAGGGGGACCACACATGCAAATGCTATTATGTAGAACCTTGCCTGGTAAGCCCAAGACACAGTGAGCAAGCCAGTGACAGCTTTGGGGGCAGAAGGGAAACGGGCTTGCAGAACACTTGGGACCACCATAGGGGCTTTGGCCACTGCAGAGTTCTAGCAGAAGAGTGTGTCAAAGTCAAAACATGGAGACAAATCTCTGAAATTTGGAAATTTTATTTGGAAAGACAGAATTGCAACTTGGGACATACATACAGTCTGGGTGGTCTTCGATATGTCTGCAGAACAAAGAGAAGCTTGGAGATTGCATTGTAAAAAGAGAAATGTTATGTTTTGCTTTCAGAAAGTTCTTTGGTCCTAGTAAGGTTTTGAGGAACTGACAAGTTTTGATTGGTAAGTGACAGCAATGGGTTAAACTATTCTCAGAGCTCCAAGAGATTGTTTCAGTAGCTATACGTAAGACTGGTTTCAGGTTACAGCAGGTAGTTTCAGCAGCCAGGCTTGCAGAGAATTATATTCTTGGAGCAATGTTTTGTGTCCTGAGTGCCTTTCCCTCTGCCTTCTCAAATCTATTTTAATTGGGTATGACAAGAATGACCCAAATGGTATGATCAACTTTCACAAGTGACATGATTCAACTTTTTCTGATTTCAAAGGCCCATTCTGGCTGCTGTATTAAGAAGAGAATGTGGTGGACAGATATAGAAGCATGGAAATCTGATAGGGCTATTGCAATCAGAAAAGAGGTGATGGCAGCTTGGATCTGTTGGTAGCAGTAGAGTGGTAAGAAGCAATTTCATTCTGGCTATGTTTTAAAAATGGAATCAACAGGATTGGCTGAGAGATTGGATGGATTTTAAGAGACAGAATGTCTCTGAGGGTTTTGTTTTGTTTTGTTTTGCTTTCCCAAGCTACAATGATGAGGATTTTTTCTTCTTTTTATAAGTCTAAGCAACATACTTACACACATATTCCAACTCATCACACTGTGTCATAATTTTTTTTTCTACCTCTTCTACTTTGTGCTAAGCTAAGGGCCGACCTTGTGTTGTATTCACCTTTACATTCCCAGTGCCCACTGCAGCATTCAATAAATATTTGTTGAGTAAATGAACATTAAGTGTGGCAGATGTCAATTCACATTGGACCCAACACTGTCCTTATCATCTCCCTCCTAAGATACCTTTTGCCTCAAGTGTGAAAGTCCATTTGCTGATCTCTACAGAGAGGCTGAGTTCAGGCTCCACTTGCTGAGCTTCCTTTCAGGGCTTTATTCATTTTATATTACTGTGTGTGATATTGTGAATATATATATATGTGTGTGTGTATATATGTGTGTGTATATATATGTGTATACACACATATATATATGGTCTTCATTCCTGATTCCTGGCATACCAGCTCCTAAAATCCTTGGAATCTCAAGTGATTGATAAGCATGCCTTTTGTATGCTAATGAGATGACTGGAGGTCCCTAGGACAGGGACTGGCCACTGGAAAGACTAGGGCATGATTAGACTTTCAGCCCTACTCCCCAGTTTCCAGGGAGGAGAAAGGGCCTGAAGGTTAATTTGATCACCAATGGCCAATGATGTAATCAGTCATGCCTATGTAATGAAGCTTCCTTAAAACCCCAAAAGGATTGGGGTTTTGGATAGCTAAACATGTGGAAGTTCCTGGAGGATAGTGGTCCTAAACAGGGTATGGAAGCTCCATGCCCTTTCCTATATGCCTTATGCTATCCATCTCTTCCACCTGGCTGTTTAAATATATCCTTTGTAATATCCTTTATTATAAGTGAGTAAAAGTAAGTAAAGTGTTTTTCTGAGTTCTCTAAGCCTCTTTAGAAAATTAATCAAACCTAAGGAGGGAGTTGTTGGAATTCCTGATTTATAGCTGGTTCTTCAGAGGCATAGGTGACAACCTACTCTTTGTGATTGGCATTGGAAGTAGGAAGAAGTCTTGTGGGACTGAGCCCTCAACCTATGGGACCTGATGCTGTATCCAGGTAGGTAAGTGTCAAAATTAAATTGAATTAGAGGACACCCAGCTGTTGTCTGCTGCAGAATTAATTGGCATATAGGAAAAAGGTCTTCTTCATCCCAACTCTGGTGTCAGAGTATTGAATGTATTGTTTAGTGACCAGAGGTGGTCTGTATTGAGAATTAAAGTGGGAAAAACACTCTGTTTTTTCCTATATATTACACCATGTAACAGATTACCACAAATGTAGTCACTTAAAGCAATACACATTTATTATCTCACATTTACCATGGATCAGGAATCCAAGCACAATTAAGCTGGGTCCTCTTCTAATCTCACAAGACTGCAATGAATGTGTAAGGCTGTGTTTTCATCTGGAGGCTCAAATGGGGAAGAATCTGCTTCCAAGCTCATTCAGGTTGTGGGCAAAGTTCATTTCCTCGTGGTTTTAGGACTGAGGGTCCCAGCTTTTTGCTGGTTGTTGGCTGGAGGTTTTTCCTAGAGGCCACTGCAGCTCTTTGTTCTGTGAGCTTCTCCAGCATGTCCACTTCATCAAGCCACAGGAGAGTCTTTAACTAGCTAAAAAATTTTATATACACAGTGATATGGTTTGGCTGTGTCCCCACCCAAATCTTTAATTGTAGCTCCCATAATTCCCACATGTCATGAGAGAGACCTAGTGGGAGGTAACTGAATCATGAGGGGGTGTCTTTCCCATGCTGTTCTCGTGACAGTGAATATGTCTCGTGAGATCTGATGGTTTTATAAAGGGAAGTTCCCCTGCACAGGCTCTCCTGCCTGCTGCCATGTGAGACGTGTCTTTGCTCCTCCTTTGCCTTCTGCCATGATTGTGAGGCCTCCCTAGCCATGTGGAACTGTGAGTCAATTAAACTTCTTTCCTTTATAAATTACTCAGTCTCATGTATGTCTTTATTAGCATTGTGAGAATAGATTAATATATGTGGTAATCACAGGAGTGACATCCTCATCCCCTTTGCTTTATTATATTAGTTAAAAGCAAGTCACAGGTCACACCCACACTCAAGGGGAGGGGATTACACAAAGGCCTGAACACCAGGAGGTGGAAGTCATGGTGGGGAGGTGTTAAAATGACTTTCGTCATTAGAAATGCGTTTGTTTCCTATCCCAACAATTTTGACCCCATGTTAGTTCTGGTACAGCATGGCCCCCAGACGTGGGTTGTCCAATATGGGAGCCACTGTTTCCATATATAGTGAGTGTGATTGAAGAACTGAGTTTCTAATTTTTAAAAAATTGTAATGAATTTAAATTTAATCTAAAAATTGGTACTCCATTTGGTTATTGGAAAAATGTTTGTGTTTTTAGAACAGCTTGGGTATATGAATAGACTTTTTCAACTGTACATTTTATGAAATCTAGACACTGATAAGTATCTCCATTGAAAATTCAGTGTTCAAATTGAGATGCGCTATTTCCTGTAAAATACAGGCCAGTTTCAAAGACTTGGTAGGAAAAAAACAAAGCATCTCCTTAATAATTTAAAGACGAGTTACACGTTGAAATGATAACATCCTGTATATGTTGGGATAAGTAAATACTTTATTAAAAACAATTCCATGTTTTTGTTTTTATTTTTTAAAAAACAGGTCACCAGAAAATTTAAAGTTACACAAGTCACTCCCATTCTATTGCTGAGAGAAAACAGAGCGGTGAAGAGCTTACAGTCGGATTAGCAAGATACCCCCGCAATGTTAACTAATGTTGTAAGGCCTTAACAAGAAATGTTGTGGGGGTTCAGGAAAGGGGAAGGTGGGGTCGTCCAAAGGCTGGGAAAGTCTTCAGTTGAAGGCGAGGCAGATGGGACTATTAGTGAGTTTCAAGAGGACCAACGCCTTGCCGGCTGCGCGGGGCGTGCCCCACCGCCTTGGCCTCATTTTTGCCCTGCGCCCCACACTTGAACGCGCGGCGCCTTTTGACCCCGCCGCCGCGCCGTAGACCGCGCTGCACGCCGGCTACCGCCATGGCGGAGGTGTCGGAGAGGACGCTGCAGTTGTCCGTGCTAGTAGCCTTCGCATCTGGAGTACTCTTGGGCTGGCAGGCGAACCGACTGCGGAGGCGCTACTTGGACTGGAGGAAACGGAGGCTGCAGGACAAGCTGGCGGCGACGCAGAAGAAGCTGGACCTGGCCTGAGACTCCGCGCCTTCCGCCCTATTCGATCCACCACATGGCCACCTTGCCCTGTCCTCACCGGAGCTCCGGTCCGGCGGTGGCCAGAGCCAGGCTTGTCACACAGTCCCCGCCTGCCATGGCCGGCTCGTCCTGGAGTGTTGGTGAGCAGTACACATAGTGACATTACAAAGGGAGACTTTGGGGTCGGGCGAATAGCTTAGGATCAACTCGGGCTAGGTCGCAGAAGATAGGACTTACTCCCACAGACACCAGAAGGTGGAAGTTTTGTGTTCCCTAGTAACTTGCTCTTTGGTGTCTTAGTTTAGTTCACTGACTGTTTAATGAGAATGTTTTACCGGTGCTATGTCGCTCATCCTGACAACATTGTAGAAAATACTGGAAAGAACAAAAGAAAAAAGGAACCGGGGAGGTGATTTTAACATCCTTGGTAGCACATCTTCGCCTTGGCGATTGTAAACTCCAAACTGAATTCTTAGGTTTTTGGCAGCCTGCTAAAGTGGAAAGAGCAGTGGCCTGGAAGTCAGGAACCTTGCATCCAGCCTTAGCATTTTCAGAAGAGCTGTGTATCATAAATATTCAGGACCTCAGTTTTCTAGTCATAACACCAGATCTTATGGTTCATGGTTTAATACCACAGTACAGTTTGAAGTTACAGATTGTGTATTTCTAATTCTTTTTTTTTTTCTGTTTCTAACAGCTTGTTGAAGATGCATATAGACTACTGGAAAGAAACGACTTCTTGCACTTTATGAATCAATTTTATTTTTAAAATAAAAAAATTAAACATCTTTGAACCTTTTATTTTTCTCATAAGGGGAAGTATCATGTTTTTATGCAATTTACTGCAGCAAGAGATCTGCATTTTCAAAACTGACTTACTAGTGTTTTTGAACAGACGTATTAGGTAACTCGTGCCCCTTCTTTGGTACACCACAAAGCAGACTTGGCTGTGGGACCATTATGGGTTCTTTTACTGAACTTGTTGGAAAGCAAGGGGCTGTGTAAACATAACTGAGGTAAGGGTGCTGTATGTAAGACCTTTGAACTTCCAAGAGTAACAGCGTATTCCTTGGCCCTGCTCATGCCTATAATCCGAGCACTTCAGGAGGTTGAGGAGGGAGGACCACTTGAGCCCAGGAGTTGGAGACCAGCCAAGGCAACATAGGGAGACCCAGTCTTTACAGATAACTTACAAAGTAGTTGGCTGTGGTGGCACATACCTGTGAGCCCAGCTAATTTGTAAACCAGAGGCTGAGGCAGGAGGATCACCTGAGCCCAGGAGGTTAAGATTGCAGTGAGCTGTGATCTCACCACTGTACTCCAGCCTGGATGACAGAGCGAAACCCTGTCTCAACCCAAAACAAAATGTGTTCCAAATACAGAGTATAAGTTTTTTCTTTTCTTTTTTTTTTTTTTTTGAGACCGAATTTCACTCTTGTTGCGCAGGCTGGAGTGCAGTGGCACAATCTCGGCTCACTGCAACCTCCACCTCCTTGGTTCAGGCAGTTCTCCTGCCTCAGTCTCCCAAGTAGCTGGGACTACAGGCATGCGCCACCATGCCTGGCTAATTTTTGTATTTTTAGTAGAGACGGGATTTCACCATGTTGGTCAGGCTGGTCTCGAACTCCTGACCTCAGGTGATCCACTGGCCTTGGCCTCCGAAAGTGCTGGGAGTACAGGCATGAGCCACTGTGCCCAGCCAGTGTATAAGTTTTTATTGGCAAAAATATCTTTTATGTGTCATTATGGAATACACACGTGAAGGAGAAACCCTCCTGAACAGAGCTTAGTGATAAATCCTGCCTGTATCTAAAAATCAGGAGTGAGGGCCTGGTTCCTTTGATTTGCAAGGAGTGTTTCTAGAATACCACCCTTGCTCATTCCTACAAAGATTAATTTCGTGTCTCAACTCCATGTTAATATAGGAAAGTTGTTTCCACATGAAGCATCCCCATCCTCCCCCCCATTTTAGTGGGGCTATTATGCCTGTTACTTCCAACTTTGTTTTCATTCTGTGAATGTAGTAGTCAAGGACTGAAATGGTTCTTGGAGCTCAGTCCCATCTGGGCTGCAGTTTGCTGAAGTTTCCTAGTGTCTGCCCCTAATTGAGGCTCCAAGAGTTGAGAGTCTTTGAGGCAAGGTAGGTTTCTTGAGGGACATACTACCCCCAACCTGTTGGAATGTACCTGGTTAAGCATCTGGATTGTGACTGGCCTAGTTCTGCCTGTTTGGACCTATTCTTGTGCCATGTTCCTAGTGGACCTGGTCCTTCCAGTGTTGATTCTTTCTCTCTCATTACTTATGTACAGCACCCTGACACAGTCATGCCCTTCTTCTGTCTCTCCTCTAGGTATCCCTGCCTCTGGGCATGTGCTACTTCCGAGTCTTGTCCATATCCTTATGGGATCTTTAGCCACTCGGTGCCACTCCTAATTTTCTAGTTTTCTGCTTACTACCTCTTTACACTGTGTACTCCCCATTTCTGTAGTGGGCAATTACCTCTGATGTTACCTCTGTCACTTTTTCTACCTTTGCCCTACTTAAATGTGGTAGTTTTTTCACCCCGAAAATACTGTGGAGATAGTACTTTTCCTACGTTAGTCAAAACTGGCAATGGAAAGTTGGGAGCCGGGAGTCAGTGCCAGTCATAACTTGGAAATGACACACTGTTGACTCCTTGAATCTGTATTTCCCCCACCTCCATTTTTCACTGCCATTTAGTCATGACATTTACCTGTCTTGGCCCACTTGTACTACCCTACCCTGCCTCCTTTTCTCCCCCAGTATGGGCTTCCCAGACCACCTGCTCCATCCCACATTGCTTCAGCCATACTCTGGACCTTGTCATCAACAGGCTTGGACTTTGTTACATTGTACTTGGTCTGTTTAGTCTCGAGGTAACCCCACCTCATTAGACAGCTTAACATCCTCTACATCTCCTATAGAACTGCCCACTCTGGAGACTATTAGTTGTCTCACCCAGTTAACCTCATAAGTCATCCTGGGCTCCCTGGTCAGATGAGACTCCATCTCTGCTTGTACATTTACCTTCACCACTGCTTTTGCTCTTTTGAGCCACTGAACTTTAAAGAAAGACTTCACCTTTCTCACTTGGCTCACGACTAATGGGTTCTATGGTGACTGCATCTGTCTTGTTTCTTAGCACCTGAGTTTCTTCAACTCCCAGTTTACTTGATGCCTTCCATTCCTAGTAGATCAACCATATGAGAAGAAAAAGGCCGTTAGCTGGGAATTCCTTCGTCTTTCTCCATAGTTTTGTCTAGAGCAGTTTTCGACAGGACTACACATTATAATCATCTGGGGAGCTTTAAAAATACTAATTCTTGCATGCCACTGTCCAGACATTTTGATTCATGTCATTTGGAATATGGCCTGGGTATCAGGATTTTTGAAGTTCTTCAGGTGATTGTGATGGTCAGCTGAGGTTGAAAACTACTGGTTTTGAAGCTCTGTCTCATTAGGTTTCCTTTACCAGGAGAGAAGAGACACAGGCCCTTTCCAAGGCTGTCTCCTCTTCGGCCTCTGCAGAATTCTACACCTCCCTCAGGACCTTCCTTCTTCTCCAGTACATCACCTCTTTCTTGCATCTGCAGTCTCTCCCTGCTGTCTATTTACAAATGCACATTTTCTTTTCGGTTTTTTTTTTTTTTTTTTTTGAGTCTGTCCCCCAGGCTGGAGTGCAGTGGTGTGATGTTGGCTCACTGCCACCTCTGCTTCCCAGGCTTAAGCAATTCTTGTGCCTCAGCCTCCCCGAATAGCTGGGATTACAGATGCCTGCCACCATGCCCGGCTAAGAAATGCATGGATTTTGACTTAAAATTTGTTTTAATTGATGCTATCATTTGCCAATTAGAAGTGGTTCACTGTCTCTTTCCAAATATTTTGCCCATTGACCTGCTGTGATCTGCCCTCTGCACCTTCCAGAAACATTAATATCTATGGCTCTTTCTGAATGCTCACATTGTACCTTGAGGATATTTGATGAGGCCACTTTCTCCCTTGAAATTCTCATTCCCTTGCTTCTCTAATACAAAATCTTATCAAGTTTCCAAACTGCTACTATTGCTGCCTTTCTCAAGTTCCTCAAACTTTTGCCCTTGGTTCTCTGCTCTGTCCTCTCCTGTGATTACCCTAGCCATTGTCTTGGCTTAACTAGCACATCCAAGCAGACCTCCCTCCCTCTGAGCCTTTTCTTTAATTTCAGCTTCACTCTTTCAGCTGTGTAGTAGACATATTCAATGCAAGACCTTACTGTAGAACTCAGTGTATTTAATCATAAGCTGTTCATTTGGCAGGGAATTCTGTACACCAGGTAGTACTTCTGTGGTAAGTGGTTGGTACAGTTTTTGTGTTTCTAGTCTATTACTGTAGCTTGGAAGCTCTTTGAGATCAGTGTTAAACATCTTGTACCACAGGCCCAAACAGTGCCTTGCACCAAGGTGCTCATATATATTTGCCATTTTTATTTGAGGTGGATTGTCTTGTCTTGTCTTTTACTTTTTTTTTTTTTTTGACACAGTCTCACTCTGTTGCCCAGGTTGGAGTGCACTGGCATGATCTCAGCTCACTGTAATCTCCACCTCCCAGGTTCAAGCGATTCTCCTGCCTCAGCCTCCTGAGTAGTTGGAATTACAGGCATGTGCCACCCACGCCTGGCTAATTTTTGTATTTTCAATACAGACAGGGTTTCGCCATGTTGGCCAGGCTGGTCTCGAACTCCTGCTCCTGACCTCAGGTGGTCCGCCCACCTTGGCTCCCCAAAGTTTTGGAATTACAGGCATGAGCCACCGTGCCTGGCCTGAATTTTCTTTTAAGACCCTGAAACTGCACACTTTCTCTATTCTCTTTGTTATAATCTTTTTGTTGATTCCAAGTCGTCTTGTTCCACTGGTTCTGTCTACATTATGAGTCTCCTGGAAACCATTAAATTCTTTTTCAGTATCGCCTGTGAGGAAGCAATCCAAAATTGTTACTCATTTTAGCACACTGATAGAAAGAAATCATGATGAGTTTTATGAAGTAGCTTGCTTTCAGGAGAAACATTGGCCATGGTTGCTTTAGTTTCTTTTGGCTACCTCACTGCGGATCTCTCTTGTTTTAGATTAATTGTTTCTTATAATGGCATCAAGGTATAACTACAGAGGAGCAATGACTACTATTAATGTGACCATCCTGAATATTACAGTCATTAGTGAAAAATCATCAGCTGAGTAATCACATCCTTTATAGCACACTGAATACCTCAGTGGTACTTCTCAAACTTGAATGTGCACATGAAACACTGGGGTATTGTTAAAATACAGATTCTGATTCTCCTAGGGCTGTGGTAGGGCCTGAAAATGTGCATTTCTAACAAGCTCCCAGGTGATGTTGATGCTGATCCAGGAATCGCAAATAATGAATACCTGTAACTGAAACAATATGGTGCAAAAATGTATACAGTCAAACATCTTTACACCTGACATGAATAGAGTAATATACTCTTTTTTTGTACCTTTCCTCATTGTTGTTTGTTTATTCACACATATTTAGGGGGGTTTATTAGTTTATTTTTACCAACAGAATCAAACTGTATCCATGATGCTATAACTTTTCTATTTAAAATATGGAAATCCCTATAAATAAGTAGATATAGATAATTTTTCTAATTTACAGACTAAGTGAATGAGAATTTCATAAGTAATAGCTTTTTTAGAGCATTTTTTTTGTTTTGCTCATCTCGTCACCTGTAATTATTTAATAATCCACTTAGAAATATTTCATAGCA